ATGCCACAGGCAACACATATGAGTTGCGATCAGCCAGAAGGTGAAGCAGAGATAGGAATACTGAGACAGAGGGCAGGGGAGCATACCATAAACAAAAAGATGGGGGAAGATCAAGTTGAAAATGCATTGGAGCACCAACAACAGCTAAAGCACTTCAACTCTATCCAAGATTGGGAAATCGAGAAGGTTACTCCTATATCAGTACAACAACACAATCCAGTAATGGATAAAAGAGATGGATGCAACACTGTGGGTCCATCAAAATATGATCAAATTGGGAAAAATGTTTGGAGTAGATTTTCAAGGCTATGAAGAAGAAGCATTGGAGTTACTAATGCAAATTGACAGCTGCAGACAAGTTAGAAGAGTGGAAACAGAGATGGAGGTGAAGAAACAAAGGTTCAAAGGCTCACTGGAATTAAAAGGATTAACCTCCTTTGATGTCAAATTCAAGAGTGATGGGAAAAAGAGTAGGGGAAGAGATCTATCTATTATTGCAATATGAAGATCAATTTAATTTCATAGAATGTAAGAGGATTAAATGACAAGAAGAAAAGGGAGATCATAAAAAGTCAAGTGCTGAATTGGAAGGCAGACATTATCTGTATGCAAGAGACAAAAGTGGAGGGGGATATCAAGGAAATAGTCAATCAAATTTGGGGTGGGAGATGGGTGAGGTACGCATGTTTAGAAGCTAGCGGCACGAGAGGGGGGGATTTTGTTACTATGGGATTGCAGAGTATGGAAAGGGGAGGTGTTACATACTGGTGCATACACTTTGACATGCAAGTTCGAGGCTCTTATACAGAATTTTCAATGTCATATAACAAGAGTGTATGCTCCAAATTGCAGAATAGAAAGAAGAACAGTATGGAGAGAAATTGGTGCAGAGAGGGGATTGATGGAAGGCCCTTGGGTAGTTTGTGGTGATTTTAACGTCACAAGGTACCCGTCTGAAAAACGGGAATGCTCGAGGAGGTCCAGAGAGATGGTGGAATTCTCGGATTTTATAGAAGACATGGAGTTGATAGATCTTCAACTCGAAGTAGGCTACTATACTTGGTTCAAAGGGGATAATCATACGACCGCTTCTAGAATTGACAGATTTCTCATTTCAGAAGAATGGGATGAAAGCTTTAGAAATATCAAGCAAACTCTCTAACAAAGGCTGATTTCTGACCATTCACCAGTGGCTCTATGCTGTGGTGCCTGGGAACAAGCTAAATCATACTTTAAGTTTGAAAATTGGTGGCTGAACGTGGAAGGTTTTGATGACAGAATTAGAAATTGGTGGACGGCTTTTGAATTTTCAGGAAGACTAGACTATATTTTAGCTTGCAAATTAAAAGCTCTCAAAGGCAAGCTAAAAGAATGGAGCAGAAGTTGTAAAGGAAATCTGGGATTGCAAAAATCAAAATTGCTGAGTCAATTGGCAGGTTTTGAGGCAACACAACAATTAAGAGCTCTGACAGAGGAGGAATCAGTGAGGAAGACATCTACCTTCATGGAGTTTGAGGATCACCTCAAGAACGAAGAAAGTGCATGGAGACAGAAATCAAGAGCTCTGTGGCTCAAAGAAGGGGATATGAATACAAAGTTTTTCCATCGTACTGCCAATGCATACAAGAGAAACAACAATATTGATCAACTAATGATTCAAGATAAAGCAGTAGAGGATCCAGACAGAATAAAGAATGTGATCATTGAATTTTACAAGAGGTTATACACAGAACCTGAAGAGTGGAGACCGACAGTCAATTTCGAAAACAGTCCAAAAATCTCTGAATCAGAGAAGGAGTCTTTAAAGAGTAAATTTGAGGAATAAGAAGCCTTGAGCTGTCTGAAGATGTGTGCAACTGACAAGGGCCCAGGTCCAGATGAATACACAATGGGTTTTTTCATTAAGTGCTGGGATATTTTGAAGCACGACATCATGGAGGCCTTCGACAACTTCCATTCCCAGTAGATGTTTGAGAAAAGCTTCAATGCAACATATATAGCCTTGATTCCAAAGAAGACAGGTGCAAAAGAATTGAGAGATTTCAGGCCAATCAGTCTGATAGGGAGTTTCTACAAACTGCTCTCAAAAGTCTTGACTGAAAGACCTAAGAGGGTGGTAGGAAAACTAGTAGATGCTCAACAAATGGCTTTCATCAAAGGAAGACAAATAATAGATGCAGTGTTGATTGCTAATGAAGCTGTGGATTCAAGAATCAAAAAGAAAGAACCCGGAATCCTATGCAAACTAGATATTGAGAAGGTTTATGATCATGTCAACCGGAGCTTTCTACTGAAATTGTTTGAACAAATGGGTTTTGGGCAGAAATGGATCAGTTGGGTGAAATTTTGCATATCTACTGTTACATTCTCCATTCTCATAAATGGATCTCCTGAAGGTTTCTTCCATGCACACAGAGGTCTAAGACAAGGTGATCCTTTATCTCCCTTTCTTATTCATTATAGCCATGGAAGGACTGAACAACATGATTAAAACGACCAAAGTCAATGGATGGGTTAAAGGTTTCGAGGTTCACAGGAATGGGGCAAACAATCTAGAGATCACACATCTTCAATATGCTGATGATACTCTAGTCTTCTGTGACACTGAAGAGGAGCAACTTAGGTTTCTAAGGATCATCTTGGTCTTATTTGAGGGAATTTCGGGACTACACATCAACCGGAGAAAAATGGGAGGAGAAGTAGGGTCCCTACCTACTGTATACCTTGGGATGCCTCTTGGTGCAAGATCCAAATCCAAAGAGATCTGTAATTCAGTCATTGAAAAGTGTGAGAAGAAGCTGTCAAGATGGAAATCGCAATACCTATCAATGGGGGGCATGCTAGTTTTAATCAACTCAGTATTAGACTCACTTCCTACCTACATGATGTCTTTGTTCCCAATTCCTGTCGGAATCATACAGAGACTGGACAAACTCCGAAGATCCTTCCTTTGGCAAGGGAATAAGGAGAAAAAGGTCTTTCATTTAGTTAAATGGAAGACCCTCACAATGGCCAAAAAACAAGGTGGTTTAGGAATAAGAAATTTGAAGAATCAAAGCAAGGCTCTTAGAATGAAATGGCTATGGAAATATTCTCAAGAACCTCAAACTTTATGGAGCAAAGTGATCAAAGCTAAGTACGGTGAGGAAAATAACTGGGTGTCAAACAAAGTCAGCACATCATATGGACTTAATGTGTGGAAATCCATCAGAGAACATTGACCTATAATGACGATTCACTCTTCCATAAGAGTGAACAACGGAAGGAACACATTATTCTGGAATGATAATTGGTTGGGACATGGAAGCCTAAAGGAAAGATACCCCGATATGTTTGGTTTGACACAAAACCAGCATAGGACAGTAGCTGATATGTGGAGTTATCAATGATGGGAACTCACTCTTAGAAGATAATTGAATGACTGAGAGATAACAAGATTAGCTGACCTCTACAAAGAGCTGAAAACATTTAAAGGATTACAGGGAAGGGTGGATTCACTTTGGCGACAGAGGCACAACAGAGGGGTCTATCAGGTGAAGAATGCATATAAGATTTTGAATCAAAATGATCTTCAGATAGATGCTTGACCATGGAAGCATATATGGAGAACAAAGATTCCATATAAGGTAGCATGTTTCTCTTGGCTACTAGCAAAGGAGGCTGTTTTAACCCAGAATAATCTCATAAAAGAGGAATTTCTCTGTGTTCAAGATGTTTCCTATGTGGGGAAAACGCTGAGACTGTTAGCCATTTATTTCTACATTGCAAGATAACATACCAACTATGGAAAATCTTTATTAGTCTTAGGGGTATTTCATGGACAATGCCATGCAGGAAGGAATGCTAGATGTTTTGAAGATAGAAACAACCCAGTACAGAAGATCAAACTCAATTGTATTCTTCTTTTTTGTTTTTGGTGTAAACAGATTTACACAGAAGATACATTGACAATTGTAGACATATTAGGATCTTGCTAGGTTGCACACCAGCACATCTACTTACCACCTACTTGTAAATTTGGTTTTCAGTACAACCTATGTACTGATGTTATTAATATATACAAAAGTTATCAATTCAAAAAAATAATTTGCTTAGGCAGATTATGGAGTAAAAGTTTAATTTTGGATTTGACGGAAACCTAAAACTTGCCGATAAATTGTTGTAAAGCTGATGCTTCAAAACAATTATGTCTTTGGTTTTATGGCAACTTTTGTTGCTTCCTTGAAGAAAAATTGCTCTAGTAAGGATAATATCATTGACCTTGTAATGATGATTGTATGACTTGGATTGGTTTTCTCATTGTTCTGCTGATAGTACTCTTCTAGTTTGATCTGGTTAGCTAAATATAAGCTGCCTATTGAACAGCACGCTATTTGTTCATCAATCAGGATTCATCTATGTACCTATTGTCTTCTTCCCTTTTTGTTCCTCATCTTTATTCAACATGCCAGAACCTCGTTATTGCAGGGGAATCTTACAAAAGCAGGAGCTATGTCAGATGCAGATTTTGGGGGCGAACCTATCCCATTTGCAGAGGTTCAAAGGATGAAGAACTTCTGCTATCAAGTGCTTAATTTGCATGTACAGGTTTCAGTTATGCAAAAGTTTTATCATTTTTCACATCACAACATGTGTATTTTACTTTCTTTTACTGTATCTTATATGAATTTGAGATCTCTTGTTTACTCATACTCATGGAAGATTTGCTTGCAAGTAGCATTGTTTTTAGTTTTGAATATTCTTCCAGATACTTACCCAAGTCTCAGATGAAACAAATTACATATAGTTCCTGAATGATAGTCATGTTCTTGTTTTGCACGTACAAGTATTTTCCTGTTTGCTTTAGGTGCTTGCTATGTGCTTGATATAATGTTTATTATTATTTCTTTTGATTTCTTTTGGTACATAACTAAATCTTTTGGTCCTTAGGCAAAGAGTAATACCCGAAGTCCAGGATCACACTCGGTCTCTCTCAACAGGTTGAACTATAAATTCTTCTTTTTGGATATATCTCTACACAGGCACTAATTTGGCAAAAAAATTGTCTCTTATACCCGACTTCTACAATATTTAGGCAATATTTTACACCAGCTTGAATGGCCAAACATTGTATTCCAAAAAGATGCATGTGGTGCCAAAGATCTGGGTCTTCCATTGGCTGGATGAGCCGATGAGTGATCTTTAGCTGTTCTGTGTACGCTTTAGGATGGGCAAGTAATTTCAGTTGCATGCGCGTTTCACAAAAAATGTGCATGCTTTATATAATATTGAAGCATAGATCAGGGATTTTACTAATTGCACTTGGAAAGGGATATTTTGAGCATGGTTATGATGCTAATTAAGAATTATTTTTCATGTTTGCTTCTTTGTTCTCATAATTTATTTAAGATTTTAAGTGGCAAAGGGTGGGTGTTGTAGTATTGTAGTTTTGGCCTTTGGACATGATTAACATTTATTACTTGTTAACAAATTAATTTTCTTTTATGTCTGAAGTATATTATTAGATTTCCAGGTTACTGAAAGCATAATTTTAAATATGTGTCAACGTATCTTGATTTCATTTTCTGGAACTTTGATGCTTTGCGTCAAATTGTAGGGACAAATTGCATCTTCTGAGCCAGAAACTCTACCATGTCACCTGGAGTGCCGAGGGGCCACGATACATGATGCTAATAGATAGGGAGGGTTGTTATTTGATTGATACACAGTTCTATTTCAGGAAGGTTCAGTTGCGGTTTCCTTGCAAATATATCTATCAGGTACTTCATCCATTAAGGACCTCTTGTGCTTCATCGTGAGGAATACTGGTTCTGCAGCTTTACGATTTTGGTCTTTTTCTGCTGTAGAAGATTCACAAATTTCCTGTCTGTTAGGGTAGAGCTGACGTTACTCATCGCTACATGTTACTTGATGGTGAATTGGTTACTGAGACTGAGCCAGAGACACAAGTGAAGAGGACTATTTACCTCATCTATGACATGATAGCAATTGATGAATCCTCTGTTACAGAGGTATGTCTTCGTGTACATATTTATCTGCCAAAATGACTCGAACGAATCTTTTGCGATCTATGTTCTGCATACCTCTTATCGTAACAAGGATGAGAGATGCGAATATCAATAGTACTGTGGCGACAATCAACTTTTCCAAAAGAGTGTAGAATACTACTACCTTTGCTTCAATATATGTGACGTAGTTTGACTCATCACGGAGTTTAAGAAAAAAAAGGAAACTTTTGAAATTTGTGGCCTTAAACATGCCATAATATTTGTGTGGCTGATAGACATTTGAAACTTGTGGTCTTAAACATTGCATAACATTGTGTGACTATAAAAGCTTCTCATTAAGGGTAAGGGTAAGGGTAAGGGTAAGTGGGTTAAATGGAAAGTTTAAAGTTAAATTGTTTCCAAATATAGAAAGGTGTCATCCTTTTTGGAACATACTAATAAGAAAAGTCTGCCATATAAATTGGAACGAGGGAGTAGTTGCTTCTTAAGTTGTGTTTTATCTGTATTAAGAATGTCATAAGGATGATTAATCCTCAGACTTCTGCAGTCAATCATGTGTTCGAGAATACTGGTTCACTGGAGTAGTTTTTTGGTATTAGATATGTGGACTATTCTTTCACGGGCATTTTCATCTTTCTCTTTCATTATGTGACAGATTTGCTTTCTGTGGCAAGCACTTTATAGTTTTCTTTCAACAGTCATCATTTTGGCATATAGTAAATTTTTAATTTGGTTGGGTTTTCATGAAAAGTTGCTTATTTTATGATTTGTGCATCCAAATACTTTTGCAGCTACCTTTCCACCATAGGTTAATGCTAATTGAAGACGAGGTGATCCGGCCCCGAAACTTCGAACGTGAATTCTTATTCACATGTGTAAATCCATACTACCAATATGACCTGGAACCATTTGAAGTATGTATGATCTCAATAAAGGCTCTCTACATGTTATTGTATGATCCCTTCTGTCCTGATGATTGTTTTGCACATGCCAGGTGAGGAGGAAGGATTTCTATTTGCTGTCTGCAGCTTCTAAGCTGATCAAAGATATAACGCCAAGTCTTCCACATTCAACTGATGGTCTTATCTTTCAGGTGCTATGGGAGCTACTCGTATCTGCTTTAACATTAACAAGCAATTTTTCATATCAAGATCATTGAGATACAATTTAAATTATGATGTTCAGTACACCTACAAGAGCTTAAGGAAATTCTGGCCCAACCTTTATTAGTAGTGTCCTTAGTTTACCAAGCTTCTTTGTATCTCATTTAGATACCAATACATTTAAACTTGTGCTAGTGAAGTCTGCAATTTCATTCATCCTGGAATGGGGACAGTGAGAGACATAGGGACATTAGGCTGGAATTGGATAGATCAAGCTCGTCATTTGGCCTGGGATGATCTGTTTACCTGCGCATTTTGTTCCTTAAGCTAATTTTATCAAATTTAATGAACTGAGTAGAGTTAGTAACATTGGAGATCAAGCAGTTTCATTAACAGAGATATAGCTCATTAGAACTGCTCTCTCTCTCTCTCTATATATATATATATGTGTGTGTGTGTGTGTGTGTGTGTGTGTGTGTGTGTGTGTGTGTGTGTGTAGTCAATCAGATAGGGATGTTATTTGAAACAAATTTTCAAGTACAGAGGCTGGAATACTTTATGCAAAGAAGTTGAATTTGGATTACACGAAAATACTAAGGTAGCAAAGAAAAGAAGAGGAAAAAAAGAGAAACCCGGTTGTGGTCTTTAATGAAATAATGAATGGAGAAATTGAAAGAGAATCAAGATCTAAATAAAGAATAGGGACACGATAGGATCTGGAGCTAAAGAAAAAGGAACAGAAGTAAAAGCAACACGAACATTCAGACTATGATAGAGAAAATAAACAGAATATATGATAAAAGAAAAGAAAGAAGAATAAACCTGTAGATGGAAAGCAAAATAAGCTTGGAACTTAGATTCAGTATCTTAATCCTAAAGTAATATACTCTGAATTTTTTAAAACAATTTATTCAGACCTAGCTTTGCCATTTAGACTAAAAAGAACATTTCTGGTAACAAAGTACTGAATTGATATCTGCTTCCTAATACCAAAAAGACATCTAAAAGTACGAGACGTTACTCTACTGTACCTTTCGATACTCTATCATTGCATGTTTACAATTTTCAGTTCATCTTACTGAAAAATTGAGAGAGAATGAAATTTTGAAGAGAAATTGGATGAAATGATTTCATCTGCAAATGCACCCAAGTGATGCACTCTCGTAGATCTGACTTGAGAGAACTTGTCCACCCCAATTAAGTGTAATTACCTTCACTTACATGCTTGTTGTGCACTCTTGATGTGTCTGCATGCGTGTTTTGTCTTTTAACGTAAAGCTGCTGGGACCAGCAAGTCACTTTGTTATGGTTGGTACATTCTGAAGCTAATTTCTGCTTTAGATAGCAAATTGCTTGCAACTTTGCTTATCTGGCTCCTGATAATTTATAATACAGGCCTGGAATGCAACTTATGTGCCTTGTGAACACGATGGGCGCCTGAAATGGAAATATCCTGGAATGAGTACTGTTGATTTTCTCTTTGAGGTGGTTATAATTTCTTTCATCGTTAGCTCTCAAACTGCAGTTTAATTTGTAGTGTTTATATGCTGAGCTTTTTCCTGTGTATACATTAACAGTAGTAGATAACATCACATAGTAGTGGCTCTGATCACTTTACTACTAGGATAATCTGATTAACAAGTTGGCATTGATAGGTGGGAGTTGACGGTAGCAATTTGCTTTATCTGCAAGAACATGGAAACAAGAAACTAATTGAAGGTTGCAGAGTCATGTTTAAAGGTTTGATGATCACTTCTTTTTCTCCTTTCTTTGAGCTCATATTCCCTTTTAGGAGTTTCCAGTGGCAAAAAGATCTCTCATTTCCTTCCCTTTGTTTGCAACGCTCGTCTGTGCCAGCTGGCACTGAGAATTTGAAGATCAATCCCTTGAATTCTATTAGGAAATGTTAGCAAATTCCTTTGCTTTTGGTCTGCAAAAAATAAGGTGGTGATAATATGACTGCCTCCTCAAGTTTTCTTAACCAAGTTTGGTCTGATTGGTACTTTCTCCTGCAGATGGGTCTGACTTGTCTTTGTACTCGGGTAGGATAATAGAGTGTTCCTGGAACGCTCATGAAAATGCTTGGATCTTTGTGCGGATCCAAACAGAGAAATCAAACCCAGATCGTATTAGTGTCTACGAGGAGGTTTGTCTTATAGCAATATCATCCCTCGTTTTAACAGCATTTACAACTATTTTTGACCGATGAAACATCTAATGGACAGGCAAAGCACATCATAGAGGGCAATCTTACAGAGGATATCTTGTTAGATGAGATTGATAAAGTAGCAGGTTTACCTATATACACTGACTGGGTAAAACGACACAGTGGATCTTCTTTTAGAAATGTCTGGAGAAGGCATTGAGGGATTTTCTGCTGTTCTTTTCTTTTTCACCATTGAGGGATTGAGGTGAGAGGCGGAGGAGGTTTTAGTCTAATTCAAAATGACTGCAGGTTTTTTGCAATCATCATTCAGGGGGATTCTTCTCATTTACTGATTTTCCAAGTTCAAAGAGATAATTTAGGGCGTATCTTGGTTATGATGGAGGCAAGTGCTGGGCATAAAAAATTTCATTTGCTCAGTCAATCAGAGCATCAGAACTCTGGGGAATGTAAAGACAATATAAAACTAGAGGTCTAGGTGATGTTTGGAAAATTTTCTTGGAAAGTTGGTGCAAAATAGTATCAACTTTTTTTTCCTTTTCCTTTTAAACTTATCACTCAAAGTGGAGGCTTTTGTGATTTCATGTACCTACTGTAATATGCAGAAAAAGGATATACTGTACGATGATTGTCGTATGTAGAAACCGTGATCTTGAAATGAAATATACATGTTTTCTGTTCACGCCATATGATTAGCCTAAGCTTATTCAGATGCCGGGATCGTAGTGATAACAATAGGGGTGTCAAATGAGTGGGTTGGGCTAAAATTGAGCTGTCATAAGAGATTACTTGAACTGACATGGGTTGGGTCAAGATGGACGGAACAATAGTTTGTAAACCAAAACATTGTAGACTACTCAATGTTTGTGTTGTAATAATGGGACATGATGGACTTTCTGTTGACTGACAAGTGGCTTAGGTTTGCCGGCAGCTCATTTCAAATTCTTTTTATTCCAATTTTGCAGTCAACTTAATACTTGATGGCCTGTTTCAGTGCGTTTCTAGTGGTATTATTAACATCTTTCAGATGTCTAATTACAGAAAAATGAAGAGAAAGCGTAAAGCTAAGATTGAAAGCAAGGGCATTTAATTTTCTTGGTTGAAGTTTTAAAGGTGGCTAGATGACGCATATTCTGAGCAAATGTTGGCTCTCTTCAACGTAGCTAGGAGATCTACGCATGCATGCTCATGCTTTACAAATAATCTGAAGTTTACTTCAAGCTTGTGCCATTTGTTTTGGTGAACGTACCAACATATACAAGTGTCAGGAGGTTGTTTATTGATAACTGGCAACTTGATGGAGGTAATACTCCTATGCCTAAATTGGTCAATTTGAAAGGGTTTATTTATATATATTCTAGTAGCGTCCAATTATTTTTAAGTTACTAGTGTAATTTAATCGATTATAGCAAGTTATTTAATCGATTTTCATGTTACTATATCACTTGTTATTATAAATACCTGTGGTCAGTTTCACCTGAGATATAGTACGTTATTAGTAAACTAATTTGAAAAAAAATGATAGTTACTAGTATACTATTATTTAGAGTGAATGAAGGAGATGATAGAGGTAGCTTAGCTTTACAGAATGCTCGTGTTAGTGGCTTATGTTCTGTGTCTTGGGGGCTATTTATAGTAATTGATATTGCTGCTCAAGGTGACGCGTACCCTTTCTCATAATGATGGCATCCTTCACATAATCGTTCATATCCTCGCCTACCTTATTTCACTTTGATTTGAATATGGCTTGGTATTAGGACAACTACGTTTATATTGTCTGTTTCAGTTGTACGAGGTTGTCGAAACATGGGGCTACCTCTTTACGTAACTTGTGCATCATCAATTGCACATCCATACAATGATAATCAAATTAAAACTTAGTGAAATATACCATATGATAGTTTGATGCACGACGTATTTCGCTTCCACGCAGAATTTGGGAAAGGCTTGCATTCTAATGCTTGAGATGTTGTTTGATAATGTGATCCTTACCATTTTGCGTCTTGCTCTTATTCGTAATAGACACAAGCACATGGTGTAGAATTTTGAATGCTAACTAGTTTAATTTCCTCAATCATATTCACACAGGATCTGTTTGGAAGCGTAAACCCGACACATAATATTAACTCCCATATTGTGCCAACTCTCAACAGCATTCTTAGTAGACAAGCAACTTAAATGCTCCAAGTGATCAAGGGTTTTGTACGTAAATATTGTCAATTTTGTTGATGTCAAACTCCTAATTTGTCCAGAGATACAGCTATATATGGTATTGTGATAAACATAAAAAACATCTGTCCTTATCCAATTTCATACATACAACAAAAAGTATATGTCTGTATATATCTGCTGCCTGCATCACTGCTACAGAAGATTTAGCGTCGTTAGTTTAGCTCATCATTGTCCAGTTGCTAAAAACTCATCCTATGTTCTCCGACTTTAACAAGTCATTACTTGTACAGTTGTACTCCAACACTCATCAAATCCAGGGTTGGATAGAGCCAATGTTCGACATTCAAAATGGCAGTCCACTGTATCAAGTATCCCGCATTCAAGTATCCCGCATTCATGTAGGGTTCGGAAAAAGATAACACCCCGAGAAGTGTAATGTAAACAGCCTAACCTAATGCTAGTAATTAGTTCTACGGCTCGAACTATAGGTTACATAGATACAACTTTACTTTTGCTCCAAGGCCCCCTTAGAAAAAAGACATTTAAAAACTATAATTCAAACAAGACATAAACATTTGTCTGGCTATACATTTTTCATTAAAGTTAAATTATTTTTGAAATGAAAAAAAAAACGTATATCACATAAATTGGCACAAAAGGTATATATTTATTCGAAAAATTGCTAAAATTTCAACAAACCTTAAGTTTGTTATAAATATATTATATTATGGATGTTCATTTAGTACTCCGTTGTAAATAAGCTTCCTGAAGAAGCTTATCCATATGGGACTCCACCGTAAATATGTTTATCTATTTAGTACTATATTGGAAATAAGCTTCCTGAAGAAGCTTATCACTTCGGTACCCGGTTATGGATAAACATTACCCCCAGTATAAGTTTATCCATACCGGGTATAATAGGCTTATCTTTTCAGTACCCAGTTATGGATAAACATTACCCCCGGTAAAAGATTATCCATACCGGGTATAATAAGCTTATCCATTCAGTACTCCGTTATGGATAAATATTGCTCTCAGTAGAAGATTATCCATATCTGGTACAGCAGCAGCTTACACAGCAGCTTGTAGCAGCTTACACAGCAGCTTGTAGTAGCAGCTTACACAGCAGCTTATAGTAGCTTACACTGCAGCTTGTAGTAGCAGCTTACACAGCAGCTTGTAGTAGCAGCTTACAGAGCAGCTTCCTTTCTTCTATAAATAGAAGAGATTTCAGTTCATTATGTACATCAGTTTGAATTCGAATAATATATCAGTTTCTCTATATACTTGTCTTTACTTTATAGTCTTTATTTTATAACACGTTATCAGCACGAAGCTCTACCATCTCGAGCAAATATTTTGAAAGTATCTGAGGTAAGAACTTTCTTTTCCTAAATAATGTCAAATCTTTCTAAACTTGAATTTGTAGCCCTGGATATATCGGGCAAAAGCTACATGTCTTGGGTGCTTGATGCTGAAATTCATCTTGATGCGATGGGTCTGGCAGACACCATCAAGGATAAAAATCAGGCATCAAACCAAGACCGTGCCAAAGCAATGATATTCCTACGCCATCACCTTGATGAGGGCCTGAAAATGGAATATCTCACTATTAAAGATCCAGTCATACTGTGGAATAATTTGAAAGATAGATATGACCACCTGAAGATGGTCGTTCTTCCACAGGCACGTTATGATTGGACTCATCTAAGGCTACAAGATTTTAAATCTATCAGTGAGTATAATTCTATTATGTTCAAAATTATTTCCCAATTAAAATTATGTGGTGATAATATTACTGATCATGATATGTTGGAGAAAACTTTCACCACTTTTCATGCCTCGAATATGCTCCTGCAGCAGCAATATCGAGAGATGGGATTTAAAAAGTATTCTGAACTNTATTTGTAGCCCTGGATATATCGGGCAAAAGCTACATGTCGTGGGTGTTTGATGCTGAAATTCATCTTGATGCGATGGGTCTGGCATACACCATCAAAGACAAAAATCAGCATCAAACCAAGACCGTGCCAAAGCAATGATATTCTTACGCCATCACCTTGATGAGGGCCTGCAAATGGAGTATCTTACTGTTAAAGATCCAGTCATACTGTGGAATAATTTGAAAGATAGATATGACCACCTGAA